AGGAAATATTTTATGGAAAAGCTGTCAGAGAATTTAATGGAAACTATTCATCTATATCCTCCATTATCTTTGAATGTTCGTTTTATCATTTTATATAACTGGTTTATGTACTATTAACAGACGTCATAGAATTTTACGATGGAGAAAAGCAAATTTTATTATTTTATATTCTTTCATTATTTTCGTCTGTATTTTCGCTGCATTTCTAGACAGAATAGCTTGCAAAGTATTGGTAGTCAAGGATAGCTTGTAACATGTTAATTACGCTGGCGACAGAATTCTCGTCGTTATTAATTAATACAATTGCAACAATTTCGCGAATTATTCGTGTAATTATACACGTGGAAAAATTGTTCGCTTAAATATAAAGGTGTAATATCCCGTGCTGGACCGACACAATGACGTTTATTCATCCATAAAATGCACGCTATAACAAGAAACACATTTTCATTTAGATTGTCCGTTTAAATAGTAATATCGGTTTAATTAACGTTACACAACGAAAACTGGCCTCGCGTGTTGTTTAGCATAATAGAAGGAGTCGATCGTTTTCGATACACGCTTTATCAGCTGGTACTACGCGCTCGATCGATCGATGTTCCAGCTTTAAACGAGATTTACCGCGTATCGGGGCACATTTTTTTAAATCACAGCTTTTAACAAGATCCCCTCGAGGTTGCATCTTTGGAAATTCAATTTTCCTCACGGCAAGGAAATTTAATAATGCACGCGTTTTCGTTCAACGTTTGCGTACTCCAGAGACGCGTCTTTCACGCGAGTTTCGTCGTTGACAATGACAGCTATAAACTGTAAACGTGACACGCGTTTAATATCAATTATACGGTACGCATGAAAAATCCGATGGAAAGTTAGGAATACTCGAAATTATTTGCTTGAGGAAAATCGTTGTCTTACATGGCGTATAAAAATTCTTCGTGTTTAAAATTCTGCCTCGAAATTTCGACAATTTCATATTCCATTACGTTTCAATCTTTGTTCATTTAAACTTGTTTAATGTGAAAATATCGACGAACTCGGGTTTACCTTTCTCCCCCGATTACATTGTGTAATATACATACGAGAACCTTTTATGTATATTCAAAATTTTGTATGCCTTTTATTTGGAATTTTATATTCAGATTCAACGAGATTTATATTCCTTTATATTTGAAATTTTATATTCGAGGTTAACAAGTTTTATACTTATCCATATTTAAAATTTTGTAATAATTCTTTTATGTCCGCTTATATTTAAAATCTCATATTTGAATTTGAATTTTTCCACAATTTTAATAATTCTTCGTTGCACGAAAATGGTGTCGGTATTAATATTATTATAAATTACGATATTCGCGTGTTCGACTTTATTTGACTTTACGTTCGCGGAGTGTGATTAGAACGAAAGATGGCGGGTATGCACTGTAATACCTCTATAAGTACTGAATTTTATGCAGAATCTCATTGGTCCGACATAGAAAGCGTGCATCGGTTTGAAACTACACTTTCACAGGCCAGAGGTTTGGACAGTGGGCACAGAGGAGTAGTTCATGCATTTATGTGCAAAAAACGTCTGGAGAGGAGCGCAAGGTTAGTTTTAAAGTGGAAGCGAAGTGGCAGTCTCAAGAGTCAACATCCAGCAGACAGAATGTCTGGAAGCGGTCTTTCTCGTGCATGGGTCCTTACATTAAGCTTCAACCGGTATAAGTCGAGGTCACCAAATTTCTTCTCTGCTCACTGGACAATGTTATTCCGGAAAAATATGAAATACACGTGGGAGTGAGAATATTTTGAACGATTATCTGAACGAATGACGAATAGATTGAAAAATTATCGGTGAGAACGACGAGAGGATGATTAGGTTAAGATCACGCGAAAAGGTCGAACGAGTTCTAGGAATATACGTGCAATTTTTGGGATGCATCTTATGAGCATGTACTGTGTGCGAACGAATAAAGGGTGACCATACTACGAAGGAAAGGGGTATAAAGAGCAGCAGCCATAGAGTTGGTCAGTCGTAGAATCAAGCAATCGGTGCTATAGATATTCATAATTAATACTTTAGCCTTAGTTTCCCTTTAGCTCGTAATAAATATAATTTAGAATTTTAGAAAAAAATGAAATACTCAAAATTAGGTGCGTTCCTTTGCTTAGGTGATTTTCACGATCAAGTTGGAAGCTTTTTGATACTGCTATACTGTATGATATTCTGTCATTTTTAACGACTCGTGAAAGGCAGATTTCCGAAATTTGCTATATCGTTCGCTTTACTTAGCTATTCTATTCTAATGGTCAACCATAGCACCTCGAAATTGAGAGAACGCATCTATCAGTGTCGACTATAGCCGAGAGCGCGTGATAACTAACGCTGCATAATAATTGTATTTTCGTTACACGTGCTACGGTGGATAGAAACTCACGTTGGTCCACGGTTCATCGGGGCGCGATTTAATCGAACCATTTCGATCCTGCATAGGTAGCCATGAATCACGTAATTCGAGAGCCAGTGCAGGCAATTCATGCTTGTTGATTTCCAGTTGGCGCAATTTATTGGACGCTTAGGTCGAGAACGAACTATCGCATCCTTTCAGACATACGTTTGAATTCAAAAGCAGTTTATCTTGGTCTCGAACGTGAGAATGATTCAAATGTATTTATTACGGTGACCTGAGAATCGGCGATCTGAAAGTCAATGAAAATTCGCGAAAGTGTGAAAGGTTAGATAAATTTCTGTGTATTATTAACATCGTAAATGTATTCGTGTAATTAAGTTCTGGCTAATTAGTCCTTTCTTTCAGCAATATAATATTCTCGTTTCTCGTTGAGTTACCTGGTCCTTTCATGCTGTAAATTGGGAACGCGATTTTTTATTGCAAATAACAAGATCACATAGAAGCCTTTGTAGAAGATAATGTATGAAGTACACATGGAAAAAGAGTTTGATCAAATTTCCAATTTTTGCGAGCTTTTAGAGAAAAATTCTTTTACGGCGAAACGATATCATATTGGAGGTTATCGATTTTTGGTTTGAGTTTAAGTTTAAAGGTCACTTGGAAAGGGACTGTAAGAACAGCTCTCATATAAAATATAAAATTCGGCGCTACTTGCAAGATAAAGTAATGCGAAAATCAGATAAATCGTTTCAGTTGGTTTCTAATTTAGGCGAAGAATAGTCATCCGCTTCGTATAATCCCAAATTTTTCTTTTTAATTCGATAAGCCTCGCGTCGAGTTATACTGCGGAAAGCAACCGTGGGGTGGAAATTTTTCTCCAGCAGTTAATTCGATTTATAATTTCAAGGATTCGTTCTCGCAGAGGCTGATTTAGTAAACGGATACGATTTATGTAGGAAATTTCAATCTGAGACGGATATGGTCGCATAAAAGTGCTATACGGAGGTACGTATTCCTACTGAAAAGAGTTTCTATTCGACTCGATTTATAGACTTGCATGAGATGCAAATTGAAACGGGAGTATCGCGTCTGGGGCTGTACAAAAATTAAATCGATGAAGATTATGTCGAATTTCGGGTATTAAAGTCCGTGGTCCTCGGTGAACCCATGCTAGTCACGACGAATCAAGTATATCGATTATAGCGTTTATTCGCGGATCGGCGTTAGTTCATGCCAATTTTTTGCACATTAGAACGTTTAAAATAGGAAAGGAAATATGCACAATTTATTCCGCGGAACACACCGCATCTTTTAATAACGAGCACTGATATTTTGAGTTTAAAGTTTCCCTTCAGAAATTCCCACTGCGCTTATTCTAAATAATTTTATATACACCGTGAACTTTGCAACTGTGAAACTTTCAAACTTTCTAGTTCCTTCTCGTTTGCCTTCTGTTTAGCGGAATATAACCTAAAAATAATACGACACGTTAGACCGTCCTTCCTTCGGCTTCTTTCGAAGGTTTATCTCAAACGAGTAAAAGAAAATTAATTCGAAATGGAATGAACTCACGAGGATGATTGCGTAATTCGAAACGAAGTGGATACTGCAACGATAATTGCAGATTGCTCGCACCGAAATAGCAACACTTAGGTTGATTAGGTATCCGGCGCAGTAATCGTAACCACGCCAGAAGCTGAGAAAGTAAAACTGTTAATTAGCCACACGTTTGCCGTCCTATAAGCGTCATTGGAGTTTCATTTCATCGATGACGACGTAACGCGAAGGTAACGCAAAGAGATCCAGCTTTGCGATACCACCACCTTCTTTCCTGGTTCTAAAAATAATCGAATTATAACGATGCGGTCAATTCTTCATCCTGTAACGAGCTCTGAATCAATTACGTTAAAGACCTTACTGTTCATTAAACGAGCGCAGATTCATCGTTACTGCGATCAAAATTATGCGTTATTATATAAACTAGGTACACGAGGTAATTTTTATATCAACGATAGCGAATAGCGCACGAATGGTACGTCAAAATTATAGCCTTCAAAAGTATTAGAAATAATGAATGTTGTTTTATGGTTGTTTTAAAATATACAGAGCTCTGTTTCAATATCCTTGCTCTACTTCGAGTTCGTCTAAATTTTGAGCACTGCATAAAGAAACAATCTCGTAACACGCGTACTTCAATGGTCTCTGGTAAGGAACTTGTCACTAAATAACTGGTATCAGATGCAACGAGATAGCATTGTAACCCGACCACAATTGATTGAACGGCAAGCCTAATTTGTAATCCACAGACACGAAGCACGAATCAATAGCTCTTTCACCTTCCACCACGCGTCTGTCGTTTGATCAATCAATTAGGGTGATTATTGCTACGCTTTGTCTTTCTCCAAGGAGCACTCTGAATTATGCTTACATCTAATTAATCATCATTCGCCGCGAAAGTATTCTCATCAATTACAACCATGATTAGCTATCCCGAGAATTTTCTTCGGAATACGCACTTTCGTTGACGGAAGAAAATTGTAAATATTCAATTTACCGTAGTGATGTATTAATACTTCGTTAATAGTAATTTGCTTGTTCATTGAATTGCAGTTGCATCTCCGCCGGATCGAAGAGTCACGAGAGATGATATTGCAGTGTCCTCACCCGGTGCATCTCCGAACGTTAATGCAACTACGAGCTGCACTGGTACAACATCTTCTCGATTGCACAATCCTTCCTCGCCTGGCAGAAATGGCCAACTATCGAGTAAGTAACTAGGCTATTATTATTTAGTGACATACACTTGCAATTCGGCTGGATTAATTTCTAAAATTATACCAAATAAGTCACTCGTTCATACGAAAGTCGCATACCTCACCTGTGTTAAAAACGAAATTTTAATTAGACACTAAACGGGTCTGTCATTGCAAATAAAATGTGACTGTTCGAACTACAAAGACTGTAGTTGTATTAATAATTTTTAAATTATACCCACTATTTTTTAAATAATTTTGCAATATACATATACGCGCATAACTCTACGCACGAGACAGAAATTTTAAAAAGTTCACGGATCGAGAATTTTAACAAAGTTATAATCCTATTGCAAGAACTCCGTATCATATTAAATCGAAAAAGTAAAGTCATTTTCTGGCAACGATAACGAAGCGTTTCGAGTTAAAAATTTTCTAGTTTCCGGGTTATACCTGGTACCTGTTTAATATGCTCGTGTTTCTCGTGTTTCAGAAGGCACATTAACGATAGTACGCCGAAGTTCTGGCAAGAATAAGAGTATCGGCGGAAGTTTCGAAAGTTCTCCGCCACCGCACAGTCCTGACACTCT